CCATTCTGAAATACCACTTTGATTATGGGGTGAGGTATTTTGGTTATGGTACGTGTAAAATAGAGGCTCGGAATGGGAACCGTCCTCGTTAAAATGTGTGTGACATCCTCTCCCGCACGCACTTGCAGAGTAGTTTTCTCAAGACCAGGTAGCTGGTTTCTGCCAGTGTACTGTTTACAGTGTCGGTTGCTGATTATTTTTAAACTTTTTGATGTAGATTTTTTTTTTTTTTTAATGCTTCAAGAACATTCTCATGATTTGAACAAGGAGGCGGTGCATCAGAAGACAAGGGGTGCATCCTCCCACTCTTTTAGTGTCATCTAACAAACCAAGAAAGAGTTTAAGGAACCTGATGTTTAACTTGAGGCTCAGAATTTAAGCTAGAACACTTTTAAAAGTTTCCACATTACTTAAGGATGGTTCGTCTTGCACTGAGACTCCCTCTATAAAGGAATACATGAAGAAAACCAACTTTTCTAAATAAGACATGAAAGTTAACATCTTGTGTATTTTCATTACAGTATAATATATATATAACTATTTCAATGAAAAGAAAGGACAGAATCATCTGTAATTATGTAATTCATGATTGTAACAGCACTGAAGTTACCATGTACGCACATGTACAGTAGCTATTTCAACAGTTACAGTGTAGTTACATGTAATTCCCTGTAACATAGCAGTTATAGTGTAATTTAGTGCCACTTATTGTAAAGTGTTACCAAAAGGAAAATGGAGTTCTTACCTTTACAATTCCATTCAAATTAAAGGTAAGTTTGTTAAATTAGCACCATAAATCTGATATTGCATTTCTTAATTAAGGAGGTGATTTAAAACTTCATGTTCACACTGCAGCTTTCCCCACCGCTTATCCAGACTCCTCCAAGTGTCTAATCTCTACACTCCTAGGAACTGGTAATCTGTGATGAACATACCAAAAATCCAGCTACTTCAACTTTAATTGAATAAGCTGTCTAATAGAGAAAAACAAACAACAACAATACGAGTAATGCTTTTTATTAAGTGGCACAAAGTACACACTAAAAACTATGCAAAAATATAGGTAAATACAGTGTACTTACATGTAAGTATCTTGTACTTGCTGTGTATGGATATTGGAAAACCATGTAATTATAATATGCATTTTGATTATTTCAAGCAGGGGGACGGATGACCCCTAACAGTCAAAAGGCAAAACTGGAAGGTGCATATACAAGCAGTGGATATCCTAATGCAATATGTGTAATTCCTCTACTTGCAATGAAAATTCATTTATAAAACTGCTTATACCACTCCTCATTCTCACTAGCTTTGCTTTCCATTTCTTCGAGGCCCATTAAATATTGCTGAAACACCTTTAGGCAAAGTAAGACACCGACTCCGCTCATGGCTCTGCTGCCAGCACTCTGTACGTCTGGCAACGCTGTTCTGTAATCTATTTCTGGCTCAACAGCACAAGTTTCCTCTTTTTTTCTGTCCTCAAGGGAGCCTAGTATGTTAAGATGCTGAAATATGCTGCCATATGCCCTGGTATTTTTAGCATGAACAACAGAGAAAGAGAGCGAGCGAGCTGCATTCTTCTGACCCCTATTTTGCTGAATCACCTCACCTGGAATTTCCACTACTTGCTCAGTAACACCAGGTAATCTTAAATTGTAAGTACAAAATGCTTCCATCAAAGTACAGGGGATGCTTTTCATGATAAAGCTAGAGTTTTGAAAACGTCAAGTTTTGTATTGTGGATCTTTCTACTTCTCGCCACTTTTCCATCATACCCTTCCAGAAGGAATGCACCGAAAGACAGATAACATAGAACAGCAAAAGGAGAAAATATTGTAAGCCCTCTTCTGGTTGCCATTGCTATAACCCTCCTTTGTGTTCTGTGTAACAGGCAAACAGATGTATTTAGCAACTGCCATTAGCATCATTCTACACGATACTATTCCTAGAATATGACATCTACCTCTTAGTCTAAATACTAGCTATGAGATGTTTGTATACATTTTACAATACTACTGAATCTTTGGTGTAGTCTTGAAATAAGATCACATTTTTGTTTGTTTTTTTTTTTTCTCTGTTAAAAATAGAAAAAAAAATATTGCCTGGGTTCACAATTCTTGCCCTGTTCTTTACTAATTTTGGGATAGTTTGAGCTTTTAACAGGGCATAAGGACACAGCCTCAGCTGGTATAAATCAGCTTCACTCTGTTGCCTTAAATGTGGGCCAATTTACACTGGCTGGGGATTCATCCTGAACAGCTTAAAAATAAACCACTATAACACGTCAATATTTAGTCAGCACTAGATAATGATGTGCAATCCAACTGCAACACAATTCTTTCCAGTAAGGCATGCAGGTTTGCAGAGAAACTTTTAAAAGCACATGCAAGCTTTTGAATTAAATATGCAATACCAATAGTGTTGAGATATTTTGACATGTCTCTTACTTATTTAAACATAATATTGCTAGGGCATGTTTACATTAAAAACACTCGATGCATGGGGGACAGGGAGGGACTGTTGCAAACAATAAGAGAGAATTAAATGGGTAGAGCAGCCTTTGATGTCAACAGAGTAGAGTAGGTACTCTTATCAAGAGTGGGACTTCCTATGTGGTTTTTCAGAGCGGACCTAGTACCTCTAAAGCAAACGGGAGTGGTCTACTTGGCATTAACAGACGCTAGCACAGTTCCTTCTTGCTATAGGTGAATCTAACCCAGCACTCTGCACTTGTTTTAACTCAGGAGGAAATAAGGGTACAAACATGGTTTAACAGCACACTTCCGTATCGCTCCACATTCTCGGGATGCTCCAAGCTTTGAGCGCTTCCAGCAGCCCGTAAGGGAATTCTTCCAGCATCTAGGAATCATCTTGTTGCCAAGCCACCTTCATTTCCTTCAGCAGTGTTTAATGTACTCACAACCAAACAGAAGACGGTGTGCAGCCAATATGACGACTCTACAGTATTAGGGGCTTCCACAGCCTCTCAGTAGATGGTGAAAGGAAATCCTTCATGGCTTCTGTGTTTACAATAGATCTGCCCTACATGTTCTGTGTCTTAAGTCATTTAGTCTCTGCTGGGCTAAAAGCAGCAGTCCAATTGGAAAGGAGGTAGGAAAAAAAAAAGTCTCTCCTCTAAAAGGAGCGGTCTGTGCTACTATTAAAGAAAAGTTCAAGGATATTTTTTTTTTTTTTTTTTAAGATTCCAGGTGCAAAGCCAAGCCTGTTAGAGTCAGCACTTTAGCACTTTCCCTGTGTTCAGGGTCAAGCCAGCAGTGTTTCATGTGTGAGCTCTGATCTCACATTTCAGCACAAACTACAGACAGCCTTACCCTGCCCTTATGCATAGTGCTGAAAATCACTGATGCTATTTCCTTCTAAACATACTCATTTTCTTAGTCTTATTCTACAACAAAATCATTGAAGGGTTTTCATAATAGGTTCAAAAGGAGGGGTTTTGAAGTAGTAGCTTGTAAAGAAAATAATAATGATGATCATCAACTGTTTATGCTGATTATGAAGAGAAGGAAAATCTTTAATTGCTGGACTGAATTCTTTATCACTTCCTCTTTCTCTCCTTTCTATGCATATTGATTAATGTTAGTAAATATTCAGTTACACATGTTATCCTTTTTGAATGAAAGCAGATTTCCTTATACCCCTATATAGCTTCCATAGAAATATGCAAATATGACCTACAATCGTCTGCTTCTGCCTAAACAGTGAGCCAAGAGAGTGGATTCATGGATTACTGGATTCATATACGTCCTGCCCCCACAAAGGTTGGGTACAATATGCCTACTGATTTCAAAAGAACAAGGCTCAAGTCCTTAATACATGTTTGAGTTGCTATTTAGCTCTTTTCCAACAGAATTTTAAAGCATTCCTTGTGCATCCTTTACTGTTAGCCTAGATATTTTATAACTACAAAACCCCTTC